CCTCTTTGATTGCAACAATCATAGTTATTATTAGATGGTGGTTTAGAATTAACCAGCAGTAAGCATTTAATTCAATCGTTTATTAAATCTTTTAAATAGTTAACAACAACAACAACGGTAACAATAGTGGATTATAGATGAGAGAGGAAGGGCTATCCATGATAATGGAAGATAAACTCTTGCTTGCAAATATTATTATTTATTTCTTTTTATTGTGATCAAGTTTTGTTATATAAACTTTATATACTAAATTTATTTTGTTTTCAAATTCCGTAATGATCATCAAGCCAATAAAATTTAATTTTTGCGTGATATATGGAAGGGAAATCGTCACAAATTTTAGCCAATGAAATCAAATGTCCATTATGCACGCAAATAAATATGTTGTGATAATCACCGGTGCGATGACCATCATCACCGGTGAGAAATAGCAATCCCTTAATTATTAATATATATATTTTAAATTGCTAACAAGATTTTTCCGGCTTCTGCATTGTATCGTCTGCAAATGAACTTTTTCGTATTAGTATTAGTACAACATCAAAGAAGTCAATGAAGACAAAACAGTTTTATGCGTGGGGAGAATTCATTCGAATGTTTTTTTTTCTTTTGAAAGGTCATTGATTCTCAAAATAGCGAAAGATATTGAATACCAGGAAATTGAATGATCCAGCCAATTTGGAAATCATTATATATGTGCTAATTTGTTCGAAAAAAAAGAACGAATGCCACATTTTAACAATCATTTATTAAAATTTAGAGCAATTATGCCATATCCTTCGACATCATGAATATCGTTATCTCAATCAATATCATCTGTATTATAAGCATTGTCAATATATGGCTTTGACTCATTTCCCAAAATCTCTATTTTTAATTGCGTCTGACTCAATTATTTATATATTTTTCATATGACTCAATCAATTGCGTATACACCACCCAACACCAGTAATATTACAATAATACCCGAACAACACAACTGTATATTATGTGGCAACAAATTTTTTAAGTAATATGAAATTGCAAGGTTGAGTTTAATATGAATTCTATCTAAATAAAATCAATAAACCCACATTGTAATTCGAATACTCAAATTCGTAATAATAACAATTCGAATAAACCTTATTCGAATATATACAATAAATGATTAAGTCATGTGATTTTATAGTATTGTGACATCATATCTTTGGATTTGAAAATTTGGGCACTCGACACAGCATTTACTAGATACGTGTATATATATATATTATGCTTTCTGTTGTCCAATATATTAACAATGGCTGGAACAGAAGTT